TCTTTCCCGCTAAATGTTTTCAGGATTACTTTTGGGTAAAACACACTAGAAGGTACTTTTTGTGCCATGCAGCATAACATAATTTTGTGACCTCTGTATTTTAAAAAGAAATAATTATCTGTCTTTTGTGGATGGAACATTTAGTTTTCTGTTAACATCCTGAACAGATGGGCTGGCTGGTTTTGCTTGTAGAAATTTCCCATTGTCCTGAACTTCTAAACATCTAGTTAACAAATGCAGTATTTTTATTTACTGTACTGCAAATGTAAAGCTATACTTTTTAAAAGCCAGAAGAATAAAGCTTTAGCAGCAGTTTTTCATTCTTCAGAGTTTGCTTGCTTTGCTAATTTGTTCAGTTCTGAAACAGGCTTTGAAATATAGGAGGAAATAAAATTACTAGATCACCCTTAAAGTTTACCCATTACGTTTTTTTTACCAAGAATGAGATAGTTTTGCTTACAAACGCTTCCTGAAATGATTTAATGTCAGGAATGTCTTCTGATCATTTACACAATCACTCTAAAGATAGTTGGCTCCATTAAGTATCAAAAAAACCAAAGAAGAAACTCGGTGTATTTGTTAGCTTACACTTTTAAAAGGTGATGTCAGTGTTGCAGTGACAGCACTGTGGCATCCTTTCACCCACTGTCTTTTAACAGGGCAACTAGAATTATTTTACATATAGGAAAGCTGGCCAGAGGGACTTACCACATCAGTTATACTACCAAACAAATATGATCTGAGTGCAGGCTTCAGTTTTGTAATAGTGTTACACAGTACATGTTACCTGATGACATCAAAACATTGGGTACCTTTTACACAGAATCTGTGATCACAGATCACAAAATCATTAAGGTTGGAAAAAACCTCTAAAGTCCAACCTTTAACACCACCATGCCCACTAAACCACATCCTGAAGTACCATATTCATGCGATTCTTGAACACCTCCAGGGATGGTAGCTCAACCACCACCCTGAGCAGCCCATTCCAGTGCTTGACAACCCTTACAGTAAAGAAATTCCTCCTAATATCCAACCTAAACCTCCCCTGGCATAATTTGAGGCCATTACCCCTTGTCCTATCGCTAGCTACTAAGGAGAAGAGACCAACACCCCCCTCTCTACAACCTTTCAGGTAGTTGTAGAGGGCGATAAGGTCTCCCCTCAGTCTTCTGTTCTCCAGACTAAATAACACCAGCTCCCTCAGATGCTCCTCATAAGGCTTGTTCTCTAGACCCTTCACCAGCTTTGTTGCTCTTCTCTGGACGCGCTCCAGCACCTCAATGTCTTTCTTGTAGTGAGGGGCCCAAAACTGAACACAGTATTCAAGGTGTGGCCTCACCAGTGGCGAGTACAGGGGAAGGATCACTTCCCTGGTCCTGCTGGCCAAGCTATTCCTGACACAAGCCAGATGATCTTCTTTTAATGCAAGAAAAATAATTTGTTCATTTCCTTACTGCTTGCTTCTCTTCTGTTTCTCTAACTCAGGACATAACTGAAAAAGTCTTTGTTTTGTGTTACACTCCATTAATTTCAGTGCTATTTTGTATTGACACAAGCCAAATTGATTTTTAGAAAATAAATTATTTTTTTTTTTACTTGCAGAAAACCTGTGCTTTAAACAGTTGTTGACAGTTTGGGTTTTTAAAAATGTTTTTACCGCTGTTACTGTCAGTTTTGAGAACATGCTGAAAAAAGGCCAGTTGCCTTCATCCCTAAGACTAAACTGTCCCTAAATTGTAATTAATTTTCCCTGTAATTAGTTTGTATTTCTTCACTGATACATGGAGCAAGGCTGTACGTAAAAATTAATTGCCTCTCCTCTTCTCTTGGTATATTTTACTCTGTATGTCTTGAGCTGCAGAAGACAGGTGGAGCTAGTATTTTTTGTATCTCCATGTTCTTCAGGATTTATTGAGTAATATACATGAAATTCTGTCTATGGTAAGTTTAACTTCATCGTACCTTAACCTCTCCAACAAAGTATCCAATGATGTGTTCTGTTAAAACTTAATGTTCAGATTCAGCTTTTATTTTTGTTTTCCTAGTGAATATGATCTTCCAAATGTAGGAGATATTTTAAGGAAAAAAAAAAAGAGTATAGTAATTTTTAAAAGTCTTGTTTTCTTCATCAATTCTGAGACTATATTGTATATGTTTATCAGAAGGCTTTAATTGGTTTTCTATTGTAGTATCTGCACATTATTTGCATTCTTTATTTATCGTGTAGTAAATGCTCATTCCTTTTCTTGAGAACTCTTATAGTTCAAATCCATGCTAACATATCCTTTCAACTGAAAAGGTAACTTGACTAAATGCTGAACCACAGATAGTGGGGTTCTTATTATTAATTGTTTTTAAAGTTCAATTAAATTGTAAGACTGGAGAACAAAGAGTCCAGTTAAAATCCATCTTCATTGACCAATACTGCAATAAGTGACTGGGCCTAGAAAAGAAGAAAAATATAACTAATTATTTTTACTAGCTGCTAGAAATTTTTTATTGTAGATTTTATGCACTAGGTTTACTAAGGACAGCTATCCTAATGTGATATGAATGTATATTTTCCAGAATATTCATGGAAACTATTATGAAACATGAGTATTACTTAAATGGTGCATTGTTTCAAAGGAGAGCATATGCACATGTTGAAATTTAAAGTCTCCATATTTACAAAAATGTTGGTAGGCAGTATATAACTCATGTGCAACTCTATATAATTTTATGTAGTGAGGCAAAGTTTATGTGGGTTTTTTTTCTCTTCTTCATTGACTTTATTTTTATGAATTTTCAATATTAAATTATTTTTTTTCTGGTGTTGTTCATATAGAAGTAGATCTGGCAACAGATCACTCTCAAGACACAAGGACAGATGCAGATCCAGAAGTCCTCTGAAAAAGCGGTCTAGATCTAGGGAAAGGTGGAAATCAAGAAGTTGCTCTCATTCCCGGTGAGCTCCATTCCTAAGAAAAGATACCGTTCTTCTTAGTATACAGTACAAAGTTATTGAAAAAAATCTAACAAACCTTTTAGGTGATGGCAAAGGATGGAATCTCTAAATGCTTTAGCCTGCCCCTAGGCTTTGTTTGTGGGGCAAAAGAATAGGAAGTAAATTTTTATGCTGAGTGTACTGAGTTTGGCTGGGGTATAGTTAATTTTCTTCATTGTAATTCATATGGTGCCTACAAGGGTTAAACCACAACACAGAGGTACCTAAACTTTGATACCAAAGTCTAGTCTATATTTATACCAATGTGCAAGCTGATTGAAAATAGGTAATTTTAATTGTCAGACTTTAACCAACAGATTTGGTATGTTTCGTGTAGCCTGTGCAACGCACAAAAAAAGTGGAGGATGCTTCTTCAACCTTCTCAACAGATATAGATTGGATTCAAGCTGAACTTGATCCCCCATTCAAGTTTTTGTGCGTGAACTTTTATTTTTGCCTTTGGCTATTTCATATTGGCCATACACTGCTGTAGGCACAAATGCATATGTCTGTTATGTGACATATTTACATTTCAGGATCTAACTCATCCATGTTTTGCCTAGTCTATTAATTTTTAAGTCTGATTGTCTAATTATTGAATGGTGAAATATCAACAAGATAATTCCTTTATCTCCTTGGATATCTCCTTATCTATGATAACATAATTTTCTGAGGGATGAAATAGTGAATATTCACAAAAGTGCCTATGAAAGTAGCTTCATAAATAGAAATCTTTGGTATTTTTCTTTCTGTTTCATCTCTGTAATTCCCATGACTCATTTAAAGGGAGCTTCATACTTAGGTTGCGCAGTTGTCTCTTGTTTTCTTAGGGATGAAGTTTAGTGGGAAAGAGAACTGCAGATCTGTGGACCTCAGTGGGAACAGTTAGGAGTAGACTACATAGCTGGGCTTTGTTGATGGATCCTTTTGACTCTGTTGCTGTTGTCTGGAGCTTCTTGAGATATCTGCTCACTGAAAGGGCCAAGTCCAATGAAATATCTGTGATAAATAACTGGAAGGTACTTCTTGGGTAGTTGTGAGACGTCTCGGTCATTGTGAGACCCTTTGCTATTTCAGGGATTGTGTGCTGTTTCATCTTTATGATCTTACATTCCTTCTGTGAGACATCTAAAGAGGTATTTGCCAAACCCGATGGGAACCAAAGTCTTCAGGTCACAGAAGAACTGACATTTCATCAGCACTTTTTATGAATATTTAAGATGTAGAAGGAAATACAATTTAGAAGGTAGAAAGAAGTGATATTAGAGAAGTAAAAAAAGGAAGAAAGAGGAGAAGAGAGAAAGTAATGGAAGACGTTATGAGATACAGTAAGCAGTTGGTGTTATTCTCATTGTTATATAGCAATTTGGTAATGAGATGAGCTGGCCACTAAATCCTGGACAGATGCTCTCTATTAACCCATCTCCCCTTTCCAGAAGGGAAGAGAAAGAGAATAAGGGAGAGAGACTTTATGGATTGAAAATGATGATTATGTCACCAGATGCTCTGTGGAGCAGGGCACTGAAAAAGTCCCACCAGGATTCAGGAACACATGGATCAGGATGAGAGGCAGATGAACTCGCAGGGTTCTTGGACTTCGGCCTTTGCAGGATCAGAAGAGCAGAGGACAAGATCGAGAAGGAAGGATTGAGACAGAAGGAAGGATCAAGACCCTTGTGACCCCCTCAGCTTTAAACTATGATGTATGTGGGATGGAATACCTAGTTGGTCAGTTTTGGGTCCGCTCCTCCCTGTAGGTGCAGATACAACACCCATGGTGAGACAGTGGCCTTGTGATGTTTACATACCATACAAGCACTTATCATTTGTAGAAGGGAACACTGTCTGGAAAAACTGAGAGAGAGAACTGTAACACTTATAAAGAAAATT